CAAAGAATCCTTTCTAATGCCATCACTTTTTAAATGCAGACCTTTAAAACCAACAGAGCACAGAACGTGTTTGCTTTTGCAAAACAGATAAAATGCTCTCTGTAGAACTGCAGTAAAGCTAGAAAATAAAGACCTCAAGGTTGTTTGAATAAATCTTCAAAAGTAAAGTGTGTTTATAACTTTCTCCATTTTTTTTCTTACGGCACTTTAGATGAATTCACAGCAACAACAAAAGAAAGAAGAAATGGATCAAGTAAAGCAATTAGCACTTTGGAGTTCACATACAACAAGCTAGGCTGGTCTTCCCCTGAGGAGCTGAGTGTGCTTTGAACTATTTCCTTCTGACTAACAAAAGTGACAAAAGTCATCAGTAGGTAAGATTTTTGTTTTAATGTTCTAAATGAGATAGCTTAAAAAAAAACCTTAATATTTGCCTTACTTTGCATAAAAACTGAAAATTTGCTGCTGGTTAATTGCCATCTTCCATTTTATGGTTAGATGTAAAAGTGTATTTAGCATCTTAGTCATAGTAGCTTCCAGGACACGGTACATGAAACAAAAACTTCCCTTTTACCTATTAAAACTGGGGAAAGCTCACCCCAGTGACTGATTTAGTCTTAATTAAAACTTCAAAAAATAATGAAATTCACTTCTGGTCAAACTTTGGGAAAAATAATATTTGTTGCTGATTTAAAAAACAAGTACCGATATGCAAGCGGCTATCAAAAGGGATATTTTCTATAAGATCTCATGTTGTTAAAAAAGAAACACTACTTTCGTGATAAGACTTAAAACGTCGACTCCACAATAATTTTGTCTTGATTTTAAAACATTTAAAAAGCTTAGAGCGACTGCTGGCTCACACTGTGTCGTTAATGCTGCATCTGTTCCTAATTTGAAGAGTTAATGATCACACTTAGCAACAAAGGAAAGATAAAAAAAACTATAAGAATATTGTTATTACATGTTCCTCTACTATAGTTCTTAAAGAGAAGTTGAATTAGCTATGTTTAGTATTGGCACCTTTACACAAAGCGGAGAACAGCAATCAAAGACTTCTGAATGATTTCCTGTCAATTCATATTCTTAGACTGAAAAGCGTTTCCTCTGGAAGTACTTCGGACAAAAACACAGAAGGTTTTCTGTAAAATCTCATGAGGTTTCAGTAACTGTACCTGTTTGCTTGATTTGCTGATTTCCTTTTCAATTCTTATAACTGATTCATCCGGAGTCTCACCCGCTGCTTTAGGAAAACCTTGTCTTTTTTTGCTTGCCTGTAAAGAATCTCTTTTTCTAACCTTAGAGCGAGTTAAAGCCAGTCAGTGAGTCTTCCTCAGTGTTGGTTGTGACTCAGCAGTTCTTTAAAAGAACTGTCCGCTGATGATGAAATAGGGATTCAGCTAGCTCAAGAGCCTAAAAAGAGAAAAAGGTATTTTTCTCTTTTTAGTGTCATAATTAGCATGTTACATCTATTTGTTAGGCCAATATTCCCTTAATTTGACACAATTTAATGTAAGAGATTAATTACTCAGAGCAACACTTGCTCTAAAATTACCTGAAACTGATTAGAATAAATAAGAAGTTAAACGTGTAGGCAGCTGCCACTCTGATTCCACCTAAGTTTTAAAAGAAGTTACACACACACAAAAAAACTCAGAATAAGTAGAAGTTTTACTTGTTATTTCTAAAAGGAGTCAGACTGCAAGATTGGTTGCCATCTTCTGAACACCAACAGGAAAGCAGCGACAGGCTGCACAGACACATTAAGCCTAAATGAATCAGAAAATTCTTGACATACACACCAAACCTCAGCTGAGCTGACATTATTGTCATCTATATGATGTCACCCTGGAGGCTTTTGCTTTGCTGACACAGAAACTCATTTTGGAATATTACGTAAAGTTAAAAATGGGGATCTCAATTGTCGCTGTGGCATGGTGTGGAGTTTTAGAAACAGAAAAACATGTTTAACACTGATTTGATCAGCTTGTTAAAGTTAAATACACCAACCGCCATTGAGTATTTCAGTTCCACTATATGACAATATCGTTTTTTTGATGTAAAATACCTGTAATGTGCTGCTACAACCACAATGTGGCAGTACAGCATTAGTTTTTTTTTTTTTTTTTTTGGTAGGACGAAGAAAATTCTTTAAAGTAGAACTAAACCTAATGTGCATGACCTGAGTTTTGAAAGATTCCATCAAAGTGGGTGAAGCAAAGAGACACTGAGGGCCAAGTGTGGAGATGATTGGACGGAGTTTATAGGGGGTGTGGTCATGCACTGTTGCCATCTTAGCAACTATGTCGCAATGTTTACGTACTCCTCACACCTCTAGTGACGATGTTTCAAAAATTAACTACTATATATATTAATTTGCAACTTTTATTATTTAATTACAATGTTTTAGCAGAGAATCAAGCTAGCTCCTAAGATTGTTGGTTGACATTGAAGAAAATACAATTAGAATTGACAAAATACAAAAAAATTATCAAAACTAAAAAAAATAAAAAAAAAACTGCTGTTGTGCGTTTTAAGAAAAACCAAAGAAATGTGAAGCTCTCATTGATTCAAGATAGGATCATTGACCAAAATAATTGTAAAATAAATAGATAAATAAATAAAGTCATTTAATGCTGACTGTTCAAACTGTAACATAAATCTTAACTTCTGGTTGCTAACCATGGAGAATAATTACAGTTTAAGAGTCCAGATATTCACGAGGGGTACTTTTCCCCAAATTCCACCAGAAGAAACTAATGCCAGGGATTGCTGCAAAGGGATTTCTAAACGTAGAAAGAGTAGTGTTTGAAGAAAAACCCACATTGAATCAATGAGGATAAAACTGAGCAACAAAGAGGATAACGAACAATGTTTCCGCAATAACAGAAGTCACATCCTCTTTGAAGATGATAAACATAGTCAAGTTTAAAATGATGACATGACTTTCTAAGTATGTCTAAAGCAGAGACGCAAGTATAGTTAAAAAAAGGTTGATACAATCTGCTCCTTGGCTCTGTCTATATGGTTTCAATTTTCAGAATTATCATTTGGACACACAGCAACATGCAAATTTCCCATAGGGAGCTCAGAGTTTAAAAGTAAATACCAGTGTAGTGATTTGATGATTCATACAAGAGCTATATCTTTGTATTTCCTAAAGTAAGAGTTTTTCTTTAATCTACAAGCTTTTTGGGAAAAGTTTTATTTCAAAGTTGAAGTAAGGTCACAACTTCTTTTGAGTGTGGCCATCAGGGAGAGAAATGCAAAGTACAGAGTTTCTTAGATGTAGATATTATTCAAATGTGTCTTTTAAAATGTAAAACAACATTAATGAGAACATGGTCTCATCACGCGCCAACAGGAGGATTTCAATCTACCTAAGCCGATCGTTTCTAGAGAACCCCCAAGCTGCTGGGGACATAGAGTCCTTTTCTCACCATGTTATCAGTGAGTCATGAATTTTCCATCAGCGTGGGTCACCACAGGCTTTTCCTGTGTTCGCGCCTTTTTTGAGAGCAAGCGTTCACGTAAAGTGCGAACAAGTAGAAAAGTGACCCGTGGAATCTAACAAAAGCTGCCCGATACAACGAGGCCGACGGGTTCGGATCGGTTCCATAAATACCGGCTGTGTTTCCTGGTTTGCTTGTCACAATGTGATCGAGCAACTGCTGAACACAAAGAGAGATGAAATGTTCCTAGTCTGTTTCCCTAAGGTTGTCTTAAGAATATTTCTTCATGTGGGCCAGATAAGTATGTGAGAGAAAAATGAAGGATTACTAAGTGAACAGGTCACACAAACTTTGACCTGGATTAGAAAAAAATCTGTTTGTTTTTTTTCTCAACAAAAAGGAACAAAAGAAAACAGAGAAGCAGGATTATATAATGTTTACTTTTTTGGATTATCTAAAACATACCAGGTACTTGAAATCTGCAACAGAGCTCTGTTTAGTTCAGTTCATATTAAGCTAAGCAGAAATACATTAATATTTTTTAAAACCCGCAGGGAAATGATATCGTTGCAGTGGCAGCATTGTTAATACGGGATTATTTTATGATATAATACTAGCAGAAATCACAGTTAATGGTGTGTTTTTAGGGAAAACAAATATTTATCGATGAACCAAGACCAAGGTCATCTTCTCCGGTTTTCTCCACAGTGTTTATAATGTTAAGCATTATTGTTTTTATTTTAAAAGGGTATTTTTTACACCATTAACCCCAGACTACATGCGTCTTTGCTGAGCTCCGCTCTGCTGTGCGCTTCACCAGTAGGTAACCTCCAAGTATATGACAAAATGTAGTTAAGGGATAAAAAAATAGTTTTTTGTTCCATGATGTATCCAATTTAAGCAAAGAAATTGAGAAAAAAATAAAGTCAGAAATTGGATTTGGTATGATAAAGACATTTAATTTTGAAGCTGTATCGCCCAACTCTATCTAAATGCATCATAAAATCCCAGAATGACAATGAGTGTAATAGCACTTTAAATGATCAAATCCTGCAAAACTTTTGCAACATAAACTAATATCTCCTGAATGACAAAATTCCAATCACTTGTAAGAAAGAACAATAAGTTTATGCTGACCATTGGAGAAAAAAGCTTCTGTAACAGACAGTAGGATGAAGACAAAAAGAGAGATGCACTAGCAGTTCCAGTGAGCAGGACTGCAGAAATGGGAGGTGTGAGCAGGTGCTGAACAAAGAGATGAAACACAAACTAAAAAGCCACGGGGGCATGACAGATCCAGAACCAGAGAAAATAGGGTGGTGACCCTGAGCAGCACCACGGCCACAGACACAGGAAGAGACTGGAGCACCAATCCAATGTGCGGTGAAGAACATCAAAGGCCGTCCCCACAGAGTCCCCTGCTGTGGCTGCTGTAGTTCTGAGCTTGTTTATTAAATCAAAAGTCTTATGTGTTTTTGCTTTAATGAAAAGAAAAACCTTTCTACTTTTTAGGCGTGTCATCTGGAATCCAAACTGTAAAATTCTCACCTTTAATGTTGACGGTCTTAGAGGTCAACTCCAGACTCTCAATGTCTTCCGTGCCAATGTTCTCCAAAGTGATGGTCAGCTGCTGCCTCTCTCCGTTAAAGAGCTGGACAGACACGGAGGTGGACAGTTCTTCTTTGGACATATGCTGAGGGGTGTGAGCTGATCTGTATGGAAAATGAAAAACACAGAAGTTACAACTCTTGTCCTTCAGCAAGGCAAACATCTATGGCAACGCTTCCAACATGTCTAAATTGATAAGTTTTCATTTGGTAGAACGTCCAGAAATCCACTTTTATATTTTATCTCTGTGCACTGTATGCTTACCACTGCACGACACAACAATCCCAGGTGGGAATACAAACTGGAAACCTCAAGGTCAAAGTGAGGTTTACCTCTTTTTCAACAATTTAACAAGTTGAAACAAAATTGTCTTTGGTTACTTGTGCTTCAAGTAAATAAAGACAGACTTTGCATTAGTAAGGTTATGTAATACAACTCCACATTTACCAGTAACCAAGCAAGCCAAATGTAGCAGCAGAAGAGTTGACCAGACTTAGCTCAGTGGGTATCAAGAATATATCCTAAGACTTGGGTTAACTAGAGACATGATACAACTCCTGGAAGGTGTGCATCCTGTTACATCTGGAATAAAAATAACATCATTTCCAAACAAGACCCATCATATCTACAGTCAGACAGGGTGGGGCTGGAGCTGCATTGCTGCTTAAGCATCTGGATAACTTGCCATTATAGAAACCACCTCCAACTGAACACCACCATGTGGTTATTGATTTCCGTAGGTCTAACTCCAACCCTGTACTACCAGTGAACATTGATGGAGTTGACATAGAGGTGGTTGGGACCTACAAAAACCTGCAAGTATCGGCGAATTCTCCTTAATGTCAATCTGGTTTGATCAACAAATTGTCGCTTTGTTTCATAAAGGACAGAGTCATTACACTTTCTTTGGAGGCTAAAGTCTTTCAATGTGTGCTGTGAGATGTGATGCTAGTCAATGGTTCAAAGTGCTCAGCGATATTCTGTTGTCTCTTGGGGCGGGGCTTTGACAGGGAGAAACTGGAAGCGACTGAACAAATCCATGTACAGTTTGACTCTGGACTCAGGCAGGCACAGAGCAACCCTGCCTATAACAGCCACCTTTCATCCATCCTGGCTGGGCAAGAGAGCAGCCATAAACCAAGGTTCCTGTCAGTGGGCAGTAGGACATCAGTCTACATAACTCTGTCAGTAACTAATTACTTGGCCGATTGTATTGCATTGCTAAATATTGCACATCTTGTGCTTTTCAGTATTTGTTTTGTTTTTACTCTAAATTTTTATTATTTTTGTGCTATTTGGACGAAATAATTTCTTGAATCTTGGATTGAATCTTGAATCGTGCCGTCTAGCTGGAGAATGTGCGGCCATCTGAAGACCATGAGCAAGTCCACAATTGATCAAAGAATACAAAATAAAAGTTTTAGTTAAAATCCCCCCAGTGTGGCTGAAAACAAAGAGCTGGTTGGCCTGCTTTGTTACATCAGATGAGAAAAAGCCTTTCATCTTGAATGTGAACCAAACAAAGAAGATTGTCGATTTAAGGAGAAGCAGTGACACAAAATAACAATTTTCTGTTATCTAACCGTGGAAGCGATGTGCTGAGCTGAAGCCGAGGAAGGGAGGGAATGACTTCCACTAAACAGCCGCTTGTCTTCACACTAGGCAGGCCTTCCAGCAGGCAGTCGCTGCTCACGCCAAAGACGGACGTGTGGTAACCTGCGGACAGACGGCAGGGCAGTCCAGCAGATTAAACAACTGGCGTCTTCGGGCCAGAGCCGCACGATGTGAATAATCCGTGCAACATATGCAGTACTGACCGTTCACTGTGATGTTGCCAGCTGTGCGCGGGACTCCTACCAGAGTGACGGGGTACAGCCCGGACTCAGCGGGCAGGGACAGAGCAGCTGGCAGAGATTCAAACTCCACTCCAGAAGTCAGCAGACCCTGAAAGCAACACAGAACCAGTGATCATCAGCAGATGCTCCAGATGTAAAATAGTGTAATTTTCATCAAAAACCTAACTGCTAACACCCCCGATGGAGAGGGGAATTATCCCAGAGAGCAGCAACTCCAACCAAGCTAACCAGACTTGTCTTATTTTGACACTTTCAGCATTCCATGCCAACATGATTCGCGTTTGTTTTTGTTGTTCCTCCGTGGACAAAGAATCAAGTATGGCTGAGTGATTCTGAGCACCTCTGTGCTGTCCAACAGATAAAAATCTGGTGGCCAATTCCAACAGCAGAAAATCACTGCATGCCTGAGAGGTGACTGAAAATAAGCTGTACAGACCAGGACGCAGGAGGAGGAGGAATCAGAAAGCTTTGAAATTCGGCAGTCCAAATTCCAGCTGGGTTTTACAGACAGCAACACATCCACAGCCAATGTTTTTTAATGCATCAAAGAGTGTACACTGGCCACCCTGAAGGTAATTTTCAAACAATGAAATAAAAGTATGTGGACTAAATTTAAATCTGCTCAAATAAAAGGAAACGCTGCGTGAGATTTCTGGCTTATTATACAGTACCTTGTACAAGTATTCACATGCCTGGAACTTTCTCCACATTTAATCTCATTAAAACCACAAAATTATTTTTACCTGGATCTCATGTGGCAGACCAACAGAAAACTGTGATTGTGAAGTGGAAGGAACATTTTGGTCCAAGTAATGTTAGTTTCTAGTACAATAAGAAATAAGACGAAACTAACTTGGAAGTTAGTTCGGAAGGAAATAGGAACGTGTCTTAAATCAGTTTCTTAATTTTGTTCCAGTGGCCGATTATTTTACTAATGAGACATTTTTTCCATGTTTAAGTGAAATAATCTGCCATTGGAACTGGTGACATTTCACCATTATTTAGGGATTATTGACATAAAACAAGCTCCTATTTGTTTCTGAAGAGTTGCTTGTAAGTTAGTTTTGTCTTATTTCAAGTGTAATAAGATATTTGTGTTAGAAACCTCACAAAAATACTTGATAAGAGTATGTATCATGCAGTGGGGATGTTTTTCTACATCAGGGAGAGGGAATCTGGTCAGAGTTGTTGGAAAGATGCAAGAAGCCAAATACAAGAAAATTCTGGACAAAGACTGGTTAGAAGCTGCAAAAGACTGGAGACTAGAATGTTCATTGTTTTATGACAACAATAAACCAATCCAGAGGATTAAAGTGATTTGGATAAAAGTAGATTCACGTGTTAGAATGGTCTCATCAAAGTCCACATCCAAACCAAATTGAAAATCAGTGTCTTAAATTAAAAATGTACACACGAATTGGGCTATTTTTAAGGAATTATAAAAAATTCCAGCCTGCAGATATGAAAGGTTGGTAGAGACATACCTACTGTACTTTTTACTCCATTTGTTATTATTCACTATTTTGTGATCGTCTTTCACATAAAACCCAATAAAATACATTCAAGTTTGAGGATATAACATGACAAATTCAAAAAGTTCAAGGGTTAGAAATAGTACGGTAACTTTTAGGTTTGTTGCAATAAGCAACAAATCAATTCAATTAATCGCATGATAAATTTAAACAAACTCAAAAATTCCCATTAGAATGATTTATCGTTTTTTCTCTTTTTATTTTTGCTCCTTTTTCCATAAAAAACAGGATGCCAACAGTCTGCAGTCTGGTGCTTTGGTTTCCACTAACCCTTTTTTTTTTTTGAAGGACGGTTTTGCTTAAAGGGACTTTATTATTCATTTTATTTGTTATTTCTGTTGTTTTGTTGTTTGGATGTTTAAAATGCCTTCCTGTTCCATTGTTAAATGTTCATTAGAATTTAAAGTTTATTGATATTTCAGTGTGTTCTTGCATTATTATGATGCTGTTACTCAAAAACATTCTTAGACAACAATATATCGTTTATCGCGATAACTTCTGTGGACAATTTATCATCCAGCAAAATTTATAATCGAGACAGGAGTAGTAACTTTGTAAGTTTTCAGGGGTTCGTTTTTTTTTTTCCTCCCCATTTCTTCCAAATAAAATGTGTAATAAACTCAGATGTCAGAAATGCGGTGTACGTCAAAGCAGTAATAAATCTGTAATGACACTCTCAGAATAACTGTACTGAATTTACATTCCACAAACACCCAGCTGTGTGCAACAAGGCAGACAGAGGTGATGTAATGATTACATCAACCCCTTACTGCAGACACTACCTCACTGGAGAGAAAGCTGTTCAAGGGCTGAGCCTGTAAGGTGCCCTCGGTGTGATTTAAGCACTCATTGCCTTCACATCGGGACATGGTGTGCTTCTCTTAAATGGCTCAAATCTCAGTGTTGACATATTAGAGACGCTTCTTTTTCGTTTGGACTTGAAAAGGTTAATTGCCTTGTTTTAATAACAATAATGGCAAAAGCATGTGCAGAGAAAATGGTTTTGTTTGGTCCTTTTTGACAGTACGCAGTTAACCTTTTGTTTTCCCTCAAGTGGTGTCGTGATAATGGCGTAATTACTATCTGGGGTTATTATTTCTTTTTCTTTGCTTGTAACTGTCCGTCTGGTCAGAGCTAATGGGCAATGAAGAGAACTGAAGACATAAAAGAAACGGCTTCCCAAGACGGTGAAGACACTGTTAATCAAAGCTTTTTGCAAAATGACAATCGCAATTCATAAACCTAAGGTTGACAACATGCTTACAAATTTATAGCACAGGGTTGCCAAAGTCCAAATAGAAACAATGTGAGCCAAATGTTTTTGATTAAACACTTTTCATACTTTTAATGATAAAAACGTAATACTTAACAGTAGCTAATATGACATTTTGACTGAAAAAATTGCTTTTTCAAGTCAATTAAGTGGAAATTATTCACTCAGGTATGGAATAACGTACAGATACACTGTTAGGGCTACATTTGACAAACATTTTTTTAGTGACATTGTTGTTGTCATGTATGCATGCGTTTGTCTAGATTGTGTTTTTTCTCTCTGCAGGTTTGGCAGCAGATTCCCAGACTGTCATCTTGTATCTTCTCCGTCCTTAAGTGGAGAGAAGAACTACTACCATGAGTTCACACTTTCGGAGAAGGAGGAGGAAAGAATGACGAGCTGCAGCATCTCATTTTGTTTCCCATGTTATCAGAAGTTCAGTGTTTTGGTCCAACAGCGTGTGCTTCCTCAAATCTACCCATTCTGCTCTTTGGCTAAAAAACAACAGCTTCTGAAAGTTAAGTAGTTTGGGCTGTTTTCCACAAAAATAATCACACCCACAAAACTCAGACCAGTCACACAACAGCTTTGTTCATTATCTCAGTCTACTCTCAGCTGAAACGTAAACATGTTTCTCAAAGTAAATCCTTTTCTAATCCATCCAACTCCATTTGCGTTTCATTCCAACAGAAAGTGAAGAATGAGACACAGATCAACACAAGTCCTTGCATTTTATGCACTAAAATATCTTAAGTTCTTTTTAAATCACCCTGACTTTAGAATTTATCTAAAAAAGGCTAAATGCGCTAGACGTTTTCACGGTTAGCAACACCGCTAATCAAAAGTTTAGCTCCAATATTAACACATTAGCCAAAGTGTGTGCACCAATAGCGACTTGTCTTTTGGCAGCGATTATGTCAAAAGACTTGAAGTTAGGTAGTGCAGAAGGACTGTGCACCGTCTTTTGTATTTGCATTTCCCATATAACAAAGTCTTTTATTTAAATGGAAATGCATAATTTCCCACTTTCTTTTAAAAGCATAGCAAATCCATCCTTTCTGTAAATGTGCTGGCCAGACTAAGTTGAGTACACGAAGTAGGAGAAAGTACAAATGACTTGCCTTTCTAATAGCGTATCGTTGGGCTGACTCTGAATGGGTCAAAGTCGCTTACGGTGGCCCCAAAATTGAAAGTTAAAGAGGCTGTACTGTAGTAAAAAAAAATAAAAAGAAGCACTTAAACAAAAATCTATAAAGCTGAGCTGAGTATTAGAGGTGAAATCGTGTGGTGACTGAAAATGGGGATCTGTTTTGTCAAACTGAGCGGTCACCTTGGCAAGAGATGATGGAAGGGAAAACTGTGTGTGTGTGTGTGCGCGTGCGTGCAACCTTGTGTTTTGCTGAGTTGGTTGATGCAGTCTTCCACCAGTTGCAAATTAGCTCTAGACGGCTTACATAAACCTATTTGTCTCTGCGTGCAGGACTCTACAAGACCACCTGAGGATCCTGGCTGCCATGGAGATGTAAAGGGCTTCAGCCTGCATCTGTGATCTGATCAATCCACCGCTCAGTGGGAGGAACTGATGGCTACGTCATTACAGCCTTACCATGGCCATTATGTTGGTCCAACTTACAGAGAAATAAGCAAGAGCTTCCTGCAGAAATGTAATGTGTACTTGAGTGAATATTAATACACTGGATAGAGTTCCCTGTAATGTCTGAAAATATTAGAATAGCATCAATTATGAGGAAGTAAAGTGAAAAAAAAGGGGCGAACATCGTCACTGTTGACTCTTCAGACAGATATAATGTATTCATTTTATTAAAAGTCTTTGAGACCTATATGGATGTTTTTGACAACACTGCAGTCTTATCAAACTGTTTCTGTCTTCTGGTTGTAGCCATAGAACCATAACCAAACCAAGCAGCCACTAATATGGAACAAAATTACAGAAAACTGCAAAGATGCTGAAACACTGAGTTCCTTTAAATGAAGACTAAAAATCCTCTTGTTTAAAGTTGCTTTTGATTAGTTGTGACTGGGATATTGACTTGCTGTGCATTAGAGCTGCACCAATCTGATATTAATATCTATATCAGTATCAATATAGACAAAAATTCTATATTTGGTATCGGTAACAATGTACCCGACCCATAAGGGCAGGTCCATTCAGTCTAATTCTATGCTTTGTGCTCTGAGCGACAGCATGCTTAATTATTTATTTTACATTATATTTAGAGTTCCTAGTTGCTCTTTCTCAACCATTTAAAAGATTTATTGGAGTTCAATTTTATATTTAACCAAAGAAGTTAACTTATAGTTTTCATCAGTTTCAGTTTTTTTTATTATTGTGTTTTACACTGGCTGTTCTGCTTCTCATTGTACTGACTGAATAAAGTAAAGTTATGTTATTTTTATCAAAATATTTTTTTTTCCTAAAGAAAAGATGCATTTTGAGTCAATTCAGCACAGTTTTTCTGTATCTTATTGGAATCGGTCGATAAAACTTAGATATCTATATCAATATCAAAAGTGAAAAAGTGCATACTGTATATTTGGCATAATGCAATGTTTATTGCTTGTTTCATAATGTGGTGATTGTATGATTTTTTGTTGATGTGAAGAACTTTGAACCACCTTGTTGCTGAAATGTGCTATAAAGATAAACTTCACTTGGCTTATGCTGTTATCAGATGAATCAGGAGGGATGAATCAGCCAACAAGACAAGTCCAATTTTCTTTTGGATCAACTGAGACAGCTGCTGAGATGATGAGCCCAGGAGCTCTGCTCACAAAACTTCATTCAGTTATTTGTTCTCTACTTTCCCGATAATTAAAGAACCATCACTTTTGACAAGTATTACACTGTGGACGGTTCCGTGTGACGGATATCAGACAGATAAACCCTTTCTCCGGTCAGGCTTTACATCACTGCATGTGTAAACAGACGCAGCGGTAAAGAAAAGAATTACTGTCTAATCTTTTGCAAACACAAACCAAACGGTGGCCTTGCCCTTGCGTCTACTTCTCCAAAGCTGCGGCACAGGAGTAACGGAGTGTGTTAATGAAAAATAGATGTCACTGAGGTGTTGGTTTGCGCCTCGGCTGGAGGTCCTTTAATAACAACAAAATGTTCGGAGCTCAAACAGCTGCTGTCACCAAGCAGCTTTCAGAATTGATTAAACTAGACCCCTGATGTCTCATGGCTCTTTTACGCCTCTGTTTTGCTCTTCAAATGAAATAGAGTGACCCTACCTTTTTCACATAACATGAATTCTATCTTTTCAAACTGGAAAATGCACGAAATGATGAATGGAATGTTTTTGAATGACGTCCTTTGTTTGCATGAGCTGCTTTCTCAGTGTCAGAAGGCTAAAATATCTGACATTTCTAAAGAGAAACTTATACAGAACTAGCTGAGCAATGAGGAGTCACAGAAACCAATTTCTATGTTGGACTCACCACATTAGCTGCGATTCCATTCTCCACATAACTGAACAATTTTGTATTTTGAAAAATAAATTTGCTTAATGGAAACACACCAAACAGGTTTTTGATTTAAAGAAAAAGATACAATGAGGTGGTTTTCACCATTCTCCATTCTTAAGACCTTTCTTAAACTATTTTATTTAAAGTGCTTTGTAAATAAAATAGTTTTGTAGTTTAGTGTACACTTTTGTTAAGTTTGTTTTTATAATATAATTATAGGGTGTGTAATGATACATGCATTGTGTTTGTTTTCTGCTTTGATCTACCATGTTCTCCACACGAAGCTCGTAGGGCATCGGGTTGTACACCATCAGCTGGACTTCACAAACGTCTCCTTGAACCCACTGGAAATCTATGAAGAGACGACGAGACAAATGGTTAGATTTCACTTCAACTAAAATATTCCACTAAAATACTTTTACAACAATTTTAAAGTGTAGAACAAACATGTCGATATTTCAGTTTATGTGGTTCTTATGACTTTTTGTTATAGGGATGAAACTGTTTTCAGTTTTAATGATTACCATTATATAATTTTATACAGATTTCTATTTTTATTTGTATTAGTTTTTTGCTTCAGAACAAACATAAACCAACCAAAAGTATCAAGTCTTCTTTAGTTACTCAGTTACAATGACTTGGGTAACTTTTTGAAAAAGAAACTAAGCAGTTTTACTTCAGCATACCTCTACTCAAGTGCTTTCTACTAAACGTGTTGAGTTAAAACACGGAGGTGTTGCATTCAGTTATTACTTCTGTATGAAAAATGTAGATCACAAAATGATGAAACTATACTGATTTTCACTTACAACAAAAAAAAAAAAAACGAAATCCAAGGAAGCACCGTTCGACTGTACTGTATTTGCAATTCTTTGAAGGTAAATTGAAAACTTTTGTTGTACGAAGAAGGTATTAAGCCCCGCTGTAGGTTTTTCTCCATTTGTAAATGTTCCACATTCTCGTACAGTTGGATACTCCGTTTGCAGTAATCAGACTTGCAAAGAGGGCCTGAAAAAAATCAAAAAAAAATCCCATCTCGAACCCTGGAAGGGAAGGGGATTTATGGAGGGTGAGCCGCAGCCGTGGCCCCAGGGAAATTAGGCCAGTTCAAAGAAAGATATCTATAATATGACTGTCTGGAAAGCTCCATATTACCACAGGTCTAGCTTGCAGGCATGCTCTAGCAGCTGGCCAATTAAGTGTGAAATGCACCTCAAAAAAAAAAAAAAAAGTCTTTTGCTGCCATCTCATTTGTGCATCATAATTCTCCAAGTTAGAACTAATATTCAGCAGTAATCTTCAAAAGGCTTCAGCTTCATAAAACATCATCACAGAGAGCGATAATGGTAGCCATCCATCAGGGCTGTTTGCTTGGGATTCCTTAAAGAGCAAATCATTTTGTCAAACAGCCTCTAACACAATCTTAAAATGATGTTTATGGTGAGAGAGTGAAGTGGGGGGTGTTTACTGAAGCTACTGGACCCTGCAGAGAAATGTTCTGTAAAACTATCAGCAGTATTAATGTGCCCATCTGAATAATTTATCATTTATGCACACAGGGCACAGAGACCGACGCAAAATCCATGCGTGGAAAACGAAGCGGCTCCACAACACGACAAATATCTGGTAAACAAACCAAAACGCCAGCGCTTGGGCCTGGTTGACTCTATAGAGTCATGAAAAATTTAAGTTGTTAAGATTTGAAAGAAATATTCAGCTCATTTCGCAAATGGCCAAAAAATGTACTGTGCATTTATGACAGAGATTTCAATGTTACAATGGAGATTAGAAAATGGCCACAACACTAGGAATGATGGAACGCTAATGAAAATCTGCAGAATCTAAAAATTTTTAAAATTGTTTGCCAATGCAGAACAATTGTTAGGTTAAAACCTAACAAAGCAAATTGTTACAACACACTTTCAGAAATTTCACAGTGACTTTCACAGTGACTTTTCAATGATATTCATGACAAGATAAGGCAAGCTTATTTGAATAGTACGTCAAAAACAAGACAATTCAAAGTACTTTACATGATAAAAACATCAGAGAAAACATTGCGTTGCAGTGGTATAACAAAGGAAAGCAATTGGAATGCAAACTACAATTAATGATGTTCCAGTTGTTATTAATCAAAGACAGCTCTAAACAAATGGGTCATAAATCTTGATTTAAAGGAAATTGGTGTTTCAGCTGTTTTGTAGTTTTCTGGAAGTTTGTTCCAGATTTGTAGAAGCTGAATGCTGATCATCCATGTTTGAGTCTGGTTCTTTGAAGACTGTGTAATCAGTTTGATAAAAGATAATCCCAGAAATTTTCTTTAGATGATAAAAGACCAACTTTGTAACTGTCTTTATCCGTCTCTCAACGTTCAGATCTGACATTCTAGTCGTAACAACTGAAGTTGTGCGCCGACTCTGGATCGTTCCTCTTTAGATCCAAAGACAATAACTTTAATTTTGTTACTATTCAGCTAAATAAAGTTGCCACATCCACACATTGACTTGTTCTGTGCATCTACTCAATGTTTGAATGGGTTTATAGTCACCTGGTGACAACGGAATGTAGACCTGTGTATCATCTGCACAGCTATGGAAACTTCAGGTTATTTGCAGAAATCTGAGCTACTGGGAGAATATAGATATTAAATAACAAAGAGCCCCAGGATGGAACCTTGGGGGTGATTTTTGTTCACTCCAATGAGAAGTTACCAACTCGAACCAGTCAAGTACCAGAAGACTTCTGGTACTTGACAATACGTCATGGTCAACAGTATCAAATGCTGCATTGAGGTCCAACAGAACCAGCTTTTTCCACAGTCTGTATTGATGTGATTCATTGACGAGGGCAGCCTGAGTACTTATGGTGGGCACAGAAACCTACTGACAGACACCATCACTGCTTATTGTTAAGAAGCTATTTAACTGCTGAAACACGGCCTTTTCCAATCACTTTGCTGATGAATGGGAGGTTGAAGATAGGCCTGTAATTTTCCAACACCAACTTGTCCAGATTGCCTTTTCAGCAGTGGTTTGATAACTACTGTTTTTAAAGCCAGGGAGAAAACACCTGACAAGAGGGATGGGTTTACAATTTCGATCCGATCAGACGCAACGACAGGCTAAGCTTTCTTGAAGAAAGTTGTGGCCAAGATATGAAGAGAGCAAGGGGATGGGAATAATTGATCTATAATTTCTTTGAAGCCTTTGTGGATGAGTTGATAGAATTGTGCAATTTTCTCCAGATTCAACACTGGAACTGGACTGAACATTGATGTGCAAGCTAGTAACCTAATTTTCAAAGTTTTCTCAGTTAAGAAGTTAGCAAATTCACTGCAGGTGTTCATGTGGCAGATTTGAGAGGAAAGCAACACAAACAGAGAAATTTAGACTCACAAATCCCAGTATATGACCACACTCATTTTCATCAAGACAAATAATGTATGTAGCATCACTGCCATGCTTAGTGCTACTAAAATTAAGGGACACTGCAAAGTTATTACAGATGTAAACAGCACTAAGTGACCATAAAAATAAAAGTCACAACTTTGAGCTAATAGTTGTAGATGCATTTCAAGCAGACATATATGATATATATATATATAAGCGTCCAAACACTCAAAGGGCACATAAAGTAAAAGTCACGTCCCTGTGTGCCCATTCAGCTCTGTAACAGATGGCCTCTCATTCAGGTCAGAGTAAACGGCTCGCTGTAGACAGTTCTTAAAGCAGTCTCAGAGCAATTACAGAGGGAAAAAAATCTCCCGTTTTATGGCTGCGCATCAATCTGACTCATTCTGAGTGACTTAAAGAACAACAACAGATCGTTCCTGCACTGACGGACCAAAGTTGCCAAATTGAACCGATGAAAGAGGAAAGATGATTAGTGTGAAGTCATGAAGCTTTATTGCCAGCTACGTGTTATAGATACGGAAGAGCTGCATGAGTCTGAGTCACCTGTTTAAAGACTTCAGAAGCCGCCAGTTTCCTCACCAGATCACTCAATCACCACAGTCACTAAAAGAATGAATTTCTTCTCAGCAGCTTTTCGTCAAATGAAAAGCAGCTCCAGAGGCTATGAAACATTAAGGCTGATCCGGGTTATGTTTTTGTAATCATTAGCAGTTAATCAAGTTGACTGTAGAAACACTTGTGTGCAGATTGGATGCTAGTGGTCTGTGTGAACATGTTAAACCATACAGTCACACAGCAGGTGTAATCCCTTTATTTTAGGCTAAATGAGTTTGCTTTTCTTGTTTTTGCTGCTGTAGATTTTTCTCTTGATTTTAAATGGTTTGCTGAAATCGCAGCAGGCTCCAATCTAATCTTCCAGCCAACAAACTGATTTATATTTTTATATAGAGATTAGAATACAAAAATACATATGAGCACTGATGACAGCAGTACATTGTGGTTTGGGTTCGGAGGGTATATAACAAAGACTGTAAAAGTTAATGTAGTAGAAAAGCTAAAAGGTTAATTAAATTAAAAATGTCTGACAGAGATGTTGACTTGGCCGCCTAATTCTCTAAATCTTTATTCAACTGATTTTCAGCTGTGTTAAGTCCCAACAGGTGGATTTTGGATACGAGTGATGACTTGTAAAGATATTTTTAAAAACTTACCAGTAACGTTTCCCACAAGCTTTCTGTTGCTTTCACAGATGCATTATCACAATCTAAGCTCAATTTGAAAATTTGATCAATGACAAACTATTAAATGTCACTTCAGAATAGATGACTCTGGTTTGGTGTTTAAATTAAAGGGCTATTTTACCATTTCTAAATTAATCTGGATTCATTTTGAACATTTCAGTGTTAAGTATGTACAGCAGGTCTGACATGAAGTGGGGATTTCTGGAACGAACCTAAAACACAGGTTGAGATTGGTTGAAATCTTTATTCATTTTGCAAAAACACACACAAAAGAGCTGTGTTAGTGCTTTGTTGCCATCACATTAGACTGAAGCAGGCATGAAAAGTGCAAGTTAATACCTGAATTTAAATCTTCAACACTTGTCGCACTTTGTTTATAACATAGTTTTGATTTATGACATTCAAAACGTACTGTAGGGTTTGGGAAAACAGAAATGGGAATCGGGTAGATGGTGTATGAGGAAAGGTTTAAGTCACGCCTCCTAAACTGGGAGACATGAGAGCGATTCATGCTGGACATTTTGGAAACATGTTGTACTCACGCTGTGAGTGCTGACGTTAGCATATTTTACACTGTACTTTAAATGTGATAGTTAAGAATTTTAAAGATGTAATAGGTTACTGCTTCTGCTGTTATAGTTACAGCTTCTGAAGAAGACAGTGAAATGTGTGACAGGAATGATTCTGATGATGCTGTTGCAGATTGTGAGAGCTTCCACAGGCTTTCAGACTAACTATAGGAAGTTGGAGAGCTGTTCCATTTCTGATTACAGAGTCTCTTTAGGTAAAGCTTAACAGTAACTTCCTACAGTTTGAGGAAAAAGGAGAAAATTGTGAAATCTAAGGATTTCTGGTTACATTTAGCAACATTTTCATCGCTGCTATAGATGTCAACTGCCAATAAAAGAGATTTGAGGTCGCACTTCTATCTTTATTGCAAGTATTGCTACTGTGATCTGTTGGAATAATTTGCAAAATATAACATTGATGTTTTCTTTTTTTCAAATTGAAAAACATTTTTCTACCATGAGGTTAGGACAGTGTGACTGCTTAAAAAGTAAAATAAAACAACAAATTTGATTAGAAATGATCAGAAAGTTATCTATGTGATTATCATGAAGCACCATCAGAAGCATAGCATCTGAAAATATTCTGAAATTTTAAGAAATGAGTGTTCACAATGAGTCCATTGCCTTGACCAATCAAAATGCTTAAAAGAAGGCTTTGCATTAGCCAGCCAATCAGTGACGATCTCTTGCATTTCATTGAAAACGAATGGAAGCGTAAATTGTCAACTTTACAATTCCTAGTTTGGGTATTTCAAACATTTTTTTAATGGCAAAATCTTTTCAAAGTTCAAGGAGAAGCAGGTCGAAGGATCTGTTTGCTGTATTGTCAAAGATTTTTACATTGATTATTGAGAAGAATATGGAGAATCTCTGAATGTAAATACAAACAGATAAATGATTTTTTTTATTAATATTTTATCTGTCTTACAGATGTGATCTATAGAAGTCAATGACGTAAGATTAAATTTATTTTCATAATGATGTCAAAAAGGGTCAGAACTTAAATGTTAGCTTGAACTGGAAAAGACAAACAACTGTGGACTCCGTTGACCTTGTGACTCACCTATCTTCTTACAGCGCTCCTCTCCTCTGTTGTGCATGATTATGGGTGAGTAGATGAAGGGACTGGCGGTGGACACGCTCTGTCCCAGCAGGCTTTTCACTTTGTGGGGCCGTAGACTGGTGGGCAGATTGAGCAGCTTAACCGATCTGGGTTGAAGCACAGATATGTGTTAGGGGGTGAACTGAGCTAAACTTTGGGTTACTATTCACAGGAAGTTAGTTTGAATTTGCTTGGGTTGCATGAAATTCAGATCACATTGCTGAATATTCATGAATATTACAGAACAAAGCTTGAGATTTATGGTTGGGCTTTCTGGGAAAGGTTACAAACTCAGCAAGCAATAAAACACAAAGATACAAGAAACTTTTGAACAGTGTTTACCCAAAACTTCCACAAACAATGGACTTAAAAAAAACCCTCAAAGTAATGTATAATCACATCAGCCTTTAATTATCTCATTACTTCTGCCTAACTTGTTTTCCAGCTTCCTCCCACATTAACTAGTTCCTGGAAGGCTTAAAACTTAAAACTCTGTATGCATGCTCTGTCCATCACAGCTTATTGCAGGCATCAAAGTCTAGTTTTTGGAAACATAACTTGATGAGTTACGTTGCAGATTTTTCAGTCAGATGGGCCGTAAACATTAAGATTTTTATGTTTCTTCGTAGTATTAAAATTGGGCAACTGAGTCTAGTTAGTTTGCTCCATTCTGCCATGAACAGCCCGACTTCCAGTGTGTCAGCCAACAGAAGCACTGGCACTCAAGCAGAAGAATGATGACCATGGCAAACGGCCCATGTTATTAGAAGTACCTCAGATGTGGAGATCTGGGAACGCCTTTTGGTAATAAAAGTGTCAGGCGACAACAAAGCACATCACATTACAGCCCCCGCCTTTAGTGAAGTGTTCCTGGGCTGCTGATCTGTATGGCAGCCAACAATGAAAAAATACTACAGCAATTTGAGAGAGTAAAGCAGGACGCCTTCGAAACATTTTGGTGATGGCACAGTTAAAGTGATAGTTGGGATGGTAGGACAAAAAAAGGGTCTTATGGTTTTTATGGCCCCCACAAAGTCCCTAGAAACTCTGAAAGAATAAAGTATGTGGATACATGACATAGTTATAATATCCAAACTTACTGCCACATAAACCCAAATCATCAAGTCAAAAGTATTTGGGGGCCAAAAAATATAATTAAATAATCAACTAGAAAATTTCTGAAGAAATTTAAACGGGGCCTGCCAAAGTGTACCCGTCGGTTGGAACCTAGCGTTCTGATGCTAAAAATTTGCATGCCAAAGTAAGCTAAATGTACTCAATAGCATGTGGAAAGTCACAAGCATGTTAAATAACATGGAACTGCTCCACTGAGTATGTTAAAATTAGTGTATATGCTAAAATTAGCCAAAATGCTAATGTTAGCCTAAATGCTGACAGTGGAGTGGGGTATAACAAGCATGTTGTCTTACACTGACTTCCTCCATTCAGTGTGCTGAACATGGCTAATAAATGAAAACAACAGTTAAAAAGCTTATTTTAGGGAAAAGGCTACTGCTAATGTTTGAACTAATGTTAATGCACTGCCTTCTGATTTTTAATATTCCTAAACTAAAAATCAGATGCTTACTTTGTGGCACTTGTCTAAAACTCTGATTTATACTTCCTGGCAGTTCGTTACCAGAAAAAAAAACGCTCATTTCTTGACACCAAATTAATAAGTAATATTATTGTTTAGAAAACATAAGCTCTTTTGAAAAACTGCTCATCGTTTTAGACGCAACAAATTTAGAGTTGGTAAACTTTGCAAAACTAAGTATCTGACGTTTACTTTGTGGCACTTGGTTACCAGAAAAGGCACTCATCTCTTAGCAACAGATTAACAACAAATATTATTGTTCAAAAAGACATAAGATTTTCTCTGCTCTTTTGAAATACTACTTATCTTATACGAAGAATTCTGCAGCTGGTGAATCTTGCAGAAAAGTGAAAATGTTTGTTTTTGTCATTGGTGATAAAAATACTATAAAACAGATATTCAACACAAAAGTAAAACTCTGATTTATACTTTGTGGCAGATCGTTACAAGAAAAAAACGCTCATTTCTTGACACCAAAT